GTAGAAGTAGAAGTAGAAGTAGAATTAGAAGTAGAAGTGTAGTAGTAGCAGCAGCAGCAGCAGGAGTAGTAGTAGTAGTAGTAGTAGAAGAAGTAGTAGTAGGGGTAGTAGCGGTAGTAGTAGGAGTAGTGGTAGTACGAGCCTTAGGCCACGAGGGCTCGGAGAGACTTGCTTGAGTTAAATTGTGTTCGATTTTGGGGTTCAGGATTGAGGTGGGCTACGGTAGGCCTTCCGGACTTGGGAATGGGTGAAGTCTGAAAGCTACCGGCATGGACGCGGGAACTGGGATTTTTGCAAGGGTCCATGTGCAGACTCAGGCTTCCCGATACACCTTAATGTGTCTAGATCTCTTTGAAGCCACCCCCAACTGTTTTGTAGAGGTCCCAAAGGAGAAAGCATCGACTCCAGCACACTGCCCGGATGATTGACTTGCACGGTGTGGTCTGAAGTTTGTATCTCAGTCTTGCGAAGGTCTAGAGAAACCTGGCCAACAAGCCTGCGCTACGCAACCTGATCTCGTCTCTTCCACTGGCATCGGCTAAGTCCACGGTCGTCGGTATAATGCAAGTAACAACTCAATTGTAGCTCTGCACAAAGGCATGCAAATGACAGTGTGCCCCAGCCCCAAAGTGAAGCTTCGTGGTCAAGCGTATTTCCAAATCTGATGCCTCAAACTCTGCGCACGAAAGCGATGACATTCATCATTCGCCGGGCTTTGGTATATCAGCTTTAAGAAAGGAATGGCAGCCAAACGTCATGCAGAACGCTCGTGAAAGCCTTAGGAACGTCACAGTCCCTACTAGTCCCAAATGTGCAACAGCCCTCTTCCCCAAATCAATGACGTCTTCAGTCGCGCGCCCGCCTATGCGTAAGTATCTACTGTACGCGTGTCTGTATGAACCGTATGCCACATCACAGCCTGCCTGGGAATCGAAGAGCCACTGGAAGCAGGCGGGGAGGAGCGACTTGGAACTGGACGGCAAGACCGCCATCCTCATGAAAAGGTCTGCAGTTCAGATGAAGGTTTAGGGTTTAGGGCCCCTATAGGGTCCTTAGGGTTTAGAGTCAGGGCTAGGAACCCTGGCTTTGGGGTTAGGGTCTAGGGCTGCGGGCTTAGGGTTTAGGGTTGAGGCCTAATTAGATAGGATAGGCCTTGCCCATTTTGGGATATTACATCACCGCAAACATATATAGGCCATATAATCACAACTAGTAGCTCATTATCCTTAAAATACTCTATCTCATCCTCATTATCAGGTGATGTAATATCCTAAACTGGGCAAGGTTAGGTTTATTCAATTTATGGGAAATAGTATGGTAGTTGGT